TATTTCTAGGACATTACTATGACCTTACGAGGAAATAAAAACACGGGCATAGCTGTTTCCTCGCAAAGCCCTAGTAACATTACTAGGGCTTTACGAGTAAACAAAATTCCTTATATATACACGAGCAATCCGATTTCTCAATCATAGTAACCTCCTCTCCATATTCTCTTAAGGTACTCTCTATTTCCTAGTTAGGTGATTAGATTAGGGAATTTAGATTAGGTGGTTAGATTAGAGAATTTAGATTAGGTGGTTAGTTTAGGGAATTTAGATTAGTTGGTTAGATTAGGAAATTTAGATTACGTTAGTTTAACTGTTTTTAAAAATTATACAAAATTATACGAGAATTAATGTTTTCTGTTTTCTTTTTTAAATTTAGATGGTTAGAAAGAGCAAAGTTGCTGCTGCTCAGTCCAGGAGGCCTCTAGATCAGGGGATTCATTATGGAGATCTATTCGGGCCCGGTTCGTCTTCGTCAGCTTCCGGTGGTTCATCTTCGGGAGTTCCCGAGACTCAGGGAGGTTTTACGGCTTCCCGGTCTCAGCAGCCACCTCCTCCGCCTCCTCCTCCTCCACCGGTCGGGATTCATCCTGATTTGCAGGTGCCGCCGAACGCACCATTTGCGGTGTACACGGTGGATGATATTTTGGCCCTTCCAGGCAGAGAAGGGCTGCCAGAGTTAGATCTTATCCGACGGGACGGCCAAAACGTATTATGGTATGTTTTAATTTTTAAAAAGTTTTATTAATTTTTAAAAAGTATTATGGTATATGTTCTAATTAATGATTTATTTTCTGTCTTTCCAGGTTTGGTCTTGACAATTGTGTCGGATCTAACGTCACAGACTGTATCAAGGGATACTTTCCCGATGCAGCTCCAAACTGGAAGCTGACGGCGAGCCACACCAAAAAGACGTGGTTCAAATCGTTCGCTGTAAGTTTAGTAAATCAATTTAATTTATTTTTAATCATTTAAAATTATGAATATTATTGAACTAATCTGTCTTTTATTTTTTCTGGTTGCAGCAAAAATACCGTTGGTCTATTGGGATTCACCAGCGAGTGAAGTCAGAGTTCGAGGCCAAGGCAAAAGCATGATTGTGCGACATGGTCTACAACTGGAAGGGCGACTTTCAGGTATAAATTTATAAATTATAATATATTTATAGTTTTAAAAATATATATTATTGACTTTAATTCTAATTATTTTAAATCAGGTGGACGGTTACGAGCGCGGGAAACCAGATTGCCTCACAACCACGGTGTGGGATGGCCTCATCAGCTATTGCCGGACTCAATCAGAACCTCCCAAACAAACTCCGAGAACCGCATGACCACAGACGAGCATGGCAACACGAAGATGCTTCACACCACGGGCCGAAAACCTCACGGGGGAGTTCGTCTAGACATGGTATTTTTTATAACTATTTAATTTTTACTTTATTTGAATATTCTACTATTCTAAATTAATATTTAATTTTAAAAAAAAATTAAGGCTAAAGAGACTGGAGTTCTTCCATCTCTGAAAGACCTTTACGAGCGGACCCACCGGAAAAAAGAGTGGGCAGTTTGTAGATCCTGCTTCCGAGCGGATCTACAACGAGGTTGCTGCCCGAGTTGACGAACGCCAGACCCAGCTGACTCAGCAGACTGGGGCTCCGGTCGTATTATCCACTCTTGAAGGGGATAAGATTTACGAGGAGGTAAATAATTTGTTTTAATATATTAATTTTTATTATTTATTTAAATTTTTCCTTATGTTATTAATATTTTTATTTACAGGTCGTCCGTAGGAAAAAGAGCCGTATTGTCGGGATTGGCTCGGTTAACGATGTCCCCGCAGTGACATCGTCTTATGTTCACCAACAAGCCGATGCCAATGCTCAGCTGCGGACGGAGTTACATGCGACACATGCTCATGTGAGTACGCTCACCGATATCCTCGACATTATGGCGGTTGGAAACCCGCAAGTGGCGGAGATGTTGCGTCAGAGACGGGAAAGCGGAGCCCTTCCATCCCAACAGCCTCAACCATCTCAGTCACAGCCGGCATCCAACATTGGAGACGACAACTTCGTGCACCAATTTCAAGAGCAGCATCCCTTTTATTTTTTTTAGTTTTTAATTGTATATTATGAATTTTAAAACTTATTAATTTTATATTATTTAGTTATTTATAAATATTTTTTATTTATTTTTTTATTTATAATTTGGTTTTTAAATTTTTTTTTAATATATATAATTTTTAATTTATAAATATTTTTTTTTAAATAGGAAAAAATTGTTTCGAAGCAAAATCCTCGTAAAGGTTTCGAAGTAAACTCCTCGTAAACTTTCCTAGCAAGTTCCTCGTAAAGAGCCTACTACGAGATTACGAGGAAATAGTTTACTATGCCCTTACGAGGAAAGCCTACGTGGACCTTCAGGAAACCTTTTCCACGCGTTTACGAGGAAACCTTTCCTCGTAAATTAGCTAGAAAATTACGAGGAAAATATGCTTTACGATGAACGTCTTTCGACGAAACGCGTTTCCTCGTTATTTCCTAGTAAAGGACCATTTACTAGGAAATAACGAGGAAAACCCGTCCTAGTAAAGGACGTGTTTTCTTGTAGTGCAGGAGTTCATGATAAATTACAAGATTATAAGTTTTACTAAAAGTTCCAATATTTACATCATAAGTCTCTAGCCGCATGTTAGACTGTATTATTAGGGTTTTGTATCATTTTAAGAGAGCAGCCTAGTGGCCTAGAGAGATCTAGCTTTTGGTGAGAGATGCAATCTTGCTATTTTGGAGAGAGAGCTTAGGATTAGAGAGAGAGATCTGAACTTCATAATAGTGAAGATCTTGAACTCCCTTGTTTTCTTACTCTATTTACTTGTTTCTTTTGCTTTTCATTTATTCAAATTATTATTCAGATCATCATAACCCTATCTTATTGTTAGATTTGTAGAAGCCGGAAAACCGGATCGACATGAACGATATAAGAAAGACGGAGTTAAGGAAATAAACGATTATATAAGACATGGAGGCGAGATAAATCTCTTTCCTTAACTCTTAATATTCGCTCCGTAGTGAGACGAAACTGTACGAATATCGAGTCCCAGGATACAACCAAGGCAGACGAATCACGCTTCACTCGTGA